TGTAGTACAAATTCTTGAGATTATATACAATTGATTAAAATAAATAAATCAGTTTTTGAACTGTTTTCTACATAGCACATCAAAGCATGAATAAATAAATATTGTAATGCATGTAAACTAATTGGTGGTAAAGATTGGGAATTGGGCAAATTGACTGGAGCCTTATGATTTTTTGTCCATGCTTACAGTAAAAACAGCCCAAACTGTCTGAAATTTAAAGTGTGGCATCTTTGAACTACTTTTATTCACGATGTTTAGTTAGATTAAGATCTGGGCTTCTGAAAGAACTTGTAAGAAGTTGAATATTTTCAGCTCAGCCTTTGAGATCTGCCATATATACAGTTTGAACCTTTTCTTTGCCAGTTTCAGCAAAGTAGCCCCAGAACAAAAGTTTGGCCATTCCATGTTTTACAACTTTCTGTTCTTTCTTCCTTTAAAATGTTATGGTATTTTTGTGAAAAAGGAAAGGTGATATGGCTGACCATTTTGCTTACCACTGCTATTTATGTTTTCCAAAAACACATAAGGGCCTCGTGGTATGGCTTAAAAAATATTTTTTTCCTAACAACTCTGATTCATTCATATTCTTTTTCTCACTTATTTTATAATAAAAATGACAAATGACATAAGTTACTGTCAAAACCAGCATCATTTATCCCCTCTGGGAGGAGGCCTTATATTAGGGGCAACAAATATCAAGCTGTAAAACATGCTTCTAAATTATATTTCACAATAAAAAACAAATAATAAATTTTGGTGCATTCTTTTTGACTACTGACCCAATGTAACAAGCACAATTGTCCAACGTGAGATCAATAAAGTAAATCAATCAATCAATTCACACCGAAATGCGAAACCTGTAAAAAATGTGCGAGTTTAGTGTGCTTCTGCCTACCTGATATTTCACCTGTAATTCGCCTAGCGAGCGAAAACAATTCGCATGGAGGACGCAGCAACGTACAAATCTCTTAACCCTTTAAAGCCCGATCCAAGAATAAAACAAAACAGATTACTTTTTTTTGGTTTGAATTCCTTATTTGCCCTTTTAACAAAATATGTAAAAAGAAAAAACAGAAATACATTTTTGATAATAATAATTTATTACTATGCGATAAGTCAAGATTATTTTTTGTGTAGTCTTCTACTGGCTGTTATCAGGTAAATCTGATTGTGTACAATAGGATTTTGAGCAAAGTTTTTACCATTAAATTATGCAAAAGGTGTCAGATACAAAACATTTCAGAAACCGTATGTATCAAATACGATACATTTGTCATTATAGGGTTAAGAGCATTCCCTACTAATCCTTTGTCATCATGATTTCTCTATCTTCCATTTAGACTGAAATCTGCTATCTCCTCTGCGCTCTTTCACCCTGCGTTGTAGCCACATATTGGCTCTGATTGGTTTTTGCCACGTGGTTTAATTTCTAATTCTCATTTGTACTAAGTTCCTGATAAACATTGAGTTAATTGATTTTACAACATGAAATGTAGTGTAAAATACTGAGAGCTGCATTATCTGTCATCTTTGCTTTGTCTTATCTTTATTCAGTGTGTTGCTCAGAATGATACAAAGGGAAATCTTTCCAATAAATATGTTAAATAGCTGCTAAAGCTTGGCGATTGATTAGATATTAATTGAGGTCAAGCAGCTTGAATAATGACTCTAATACAAAAATAAATTTGCAGCCTGAGGCCCCGTAGCTTCAAGTGGCTCTTTTGTCCTTCCACTATTGCTCTGATTGGCTGGCTAAAATGATGTATATATGAATAAAAAAAAAAAAAAAATGTTCTATAACTTTATTTCATGTAAACAAAACAAAAAATTACCTTGCAAGATATTAAAAAGTACCAGTGATATTTTTTTCCATTGATTTTTTTATTTCATTGGGTTTGAAACTTTGCACATAATTTTACATAATTTCCCACAGATATCACATCCAGTAGAAGGAAATTAATCTGTCCTCTTTCTGTAAAGGTTTTTTGTGTTTTTTTTTATCTGAAAATTTAGATGAAAATGATACTGCAGGTCTTAAAACATGACTATAAGTTGCCTTTAGTATGTATTTCTCAGAAATTATAAGTAGTCTTCTCAAAAGGTCATGTCAAATTTGAGGCCCTAATCAAGTTTAATTTAGCTGGCAAAACTGCTCTTTAAACTGCCACGGTTACACCACTGCTGTAGAAGTAACAACTAATCAGTTCTGTATTGGAATCATGTTCTCTATATTATATGAAAGGTTGATTGATTGGGGAGTTGACATTTAAAACAGACTTTAGCATCTTGTATTAGCAATCACCACTACTAGCATTATGGAAGTTTCTTTCTTTTTTTCTTCTTGTCAAAACGATTTAACTCTGAGATTTGCCGACATTTTCAAATTGTTAGTTTTTCATTAAATACAGATATCGAAAGCTCTAAATAGTGAAACAAACTCACCTCATTTCACCTTCCTGTTACTTGCTGAAATTGTTGCTCTCTTGCATAGCTTGAAAAACTTGTAAATATGTCTTATAACAATCGGGGTCCATTTAAATAGCTTATAACTACAATTCCTTGAGCCACCTTACTGATTTTGAAAATAATGAACCTTGAATCTTCCCTCCATATAGACATCCACACCAAACAGTGTTAAGGTATTTAGATGTTTCCTGATCAATAAAATATTTTGCTTTGGAGCTTCTGGCTGCCAGTTATCAACTGTTGCTGATAAAGTAGCAGTTCAGTTGAAATTAAATACCAGCCAACTTATCGGTTGATCTCTTTAGTATGTTTTTGTGACTGAACAATTATTATTCTAAACCCTTTCATAAACTCATACTATTTATAATGACCTATTTTAAGTATTTTAATCTGTTTTCAAGGGAAGCGAAGCTTTATTTTAAGGTAAAAGGATTTCATCAAATTTCCCCATGAGTGTACAGGCATTATTACTCATAAACAATATTTAAACATTATTTAGGTATAGTTACCATTGAAAAAAAAATGTAATTTTATGAAAGGTGCTTGATATTCATGACTGTAGCCTAAATAATGAGGCATTGCATCAACTCCATGTAACAGGAGAGCATGATTACCCAGAACACTCTCCACTCCTTTCTAAACAATCTCTGCTCTTGCACGAAGTAGATATTTATCATATTTGTCATTCACACTTTTTCTGTTTTAGGTGTGTCCCAGGACCCTTGAGACAGCTAGAACATCACCTCGTAATTTCCCTGTTTAATCTGGGGACTTTACCAAAACTAAAATTTACCAAGACGTCACGTTGTGTGACAAGATGTCTGCCCTGTTCTACTTATGAACTCTGCTCGTGTGGATTTAGACTTTGAGGTTTTTGCCGTTTTTAGTCCCAGTGGGGCAAACACACACTGTGGGCGTTCTCCCTCTACTTTCTGTTTCTCTCCTCTGTTTCTGCTTCTTATTCCTGTTGGTCCTCTCCTCCTGTGATTACTGAACACATGCTTAGCCACCACAGAAGAAGCGGTTTTTGGGTGTGGACAGATGCAGGGATGGATTCTGAAGCACAGTTGTAAAAGAGGCCATGACACGCAATTAGTGGTTCGGTGGTCTGTGTCTGATTGAGATTTTACATGTGGCCATTTCTGGAATAGAACTGAACGTCATTCCCCCTTTGTGCTTTGAAATGACCCCTCAGGTCTGTAGAGAAGCTCTTGCGAAATCATTTGAGCATTTAGCTGTCATATTAGATCTGTCAGCTCTTGCTTTGATTTTTCTTTTTACACTCCAGCTCTTTAAATAATATTCAGAAGCCCACAATATCAGTGCGCTATGTAAAGCCTGCAAAAGAAAAGCCTAGCTTATGCATTTTCACAGCTTTGCATATTCTCACTTTTAAGTGGCAGATCAAAAAATACTCGACTGGAAATAGTCTCTCTTTTTCAGATTGAATCCTCCAACGCACCAATCTTTTGTGAGCGTTCTTGGACAGAGTCCCAGGATATTCTTCCCAGCATTTAAATTTAATGTTGAAAACAGCTTGACTATATTTGGGCTTAGAATTACTTAAATGACTTTAATATTAAGGGAATGTCGTCTTTGCCTTAACAGATCAAAGCTGATTTCCTCTTGAATCTTGTTTATTATCACTAAACAGTTTGGAAGAGGAAACCTTTTTTTTCCTCAGAGGGTTATTTTTTTAGAATTGCTGCATCTTGCCTTTGTCCTTGTACACATTACAAGTATCCATAAACGTGTGATATTAATAACAAACACAAATGCTTATAACCAGCAGCTTGCAAGACTAATCCCCAACTCTTGATGGGCAGCCATTGTGTGAAGGTGTGATTTTTGCCACAAGCCTTTTTTCTTTTTTTTTTTACTCTTTTTTTTCTGGAATACTTTCTGATTTAGTAAAAACACCTCAACTGGTGTGTGAAAATGATTTCATCTTGCAGTTATACAGTGCCGAAGAACTCAGAAAATTTAACTGGAGAGAGACAAACCTCCACAATAAAGAGAAAGATGGAAAATGAACGTCTGGATGTTGCTTTTCCAAATAATTAGGGCTGATTCATCATGTCTCTGCCTTGGCTACCTTGTTGTGCCATTGTTGGTGGACATAGGCCACTCGTTTCCTGCATTAGCAAGTGAGAAGAGGACCATTGAAGCCACTGATGGCCTTTCAAGCAGTCTGCCTTGATGAGCCATTATCGTGACTCCGATGAGCAGGAATGCACACAATCAGTGATGATGTGTGTGTTTTAGAGGGAGAGAGAAGGAGAGGGTACTCATGGGGAGGTGTGAACAGCTGTGTGTGTCATGGAGGCCAAAGGTCCACCCACGAACAAATGATCGGGCTGGTGGAAGGTGTAGACTCACACTCTTGGAAAACAAACCAGATGACACACACCTCGAAGCAGCTGGTTGTGATGCCTGAAGAAACTGCTTCACCAGATCAGTCTTCAGTCTCTGCTCTGAGCTCCGCGGGTCATAAGGGCAGCCTCTCATTCATGTCTCTCTTTGTTCTCTTTCAGTCTGCAGCTTCATCAGATGGTGGTGAGTACAAACATTTTTTTTTTATCTGAACATCAATCCTACGCAAATCCTGAGCACTGCTTTAATCCAAAGTGAAACTCTTGCAGCCCTTACATTTTGACCAGAATGGGCACTAAATGACAAAAACTCATCTAATGGATAAATTGATGGCCTAATAAAAGTCTCTCTGTGAGGATAGCGTGTTCACTATAGACAGCATTCATTTACAAAGGATGTTTGTTGAGGGTGTTTGGGGTTTCTGTAGGGTTAGCGGCCATGTTGTCTGGTCGTCCCTTTTATAGCACTTTTGGCAACATTCACGACTCTGCAGGAAAGAGTTCACCCAGTCTGATGCTGCTGATGTGGATCAGCCTCTGTTTAAAGATGCCTCATTAGTTGAGCAATGTGGTAAGCTCAGATCTTACAGCTTCAACCATTTTACACTAATGTGATAGTTTGGATTCTCTAGAGGGAGATCCTGTAAAGTTGTTGTTGGGGTAAGTTTGTTTGCTTAAAGCAGTCAGATATGATGTTGCAGCAAGATTGAATAAATGTAAAGAAATGGAGACAGTTTCAGCATAAGATGCTCACAGTATTGTAGCTTTGTGTAAAAATACTAGAGTATCAGTGTGACACAAAGAAAGTATGTGACACAATTCAAAAACAGCTATCCTATAATGGCTATAATGTAGCCTGCTAGTTATAGTTTAGAGTTTTCTGATCCTGATAGATTAATGAGTAATGAGTCAGATTTCTTCAGTTTTCGATATTAAAGTATTTTGAAATAGCCTAATTTTTCTTCAGGTCTCAGCCTCTATTTAGGGATGAACAATCTCTGAATTATTCTCTGCTCCACAGAGCCACCGTCCAGTTTATCTCCATGATGCTGGTATCCACCTAGTGCCAATGTAACACATTATTAGTGTAAATTAAACATTATTACTTTGACAAAGGACTTTTTTTTTTTAAAAGCTCACCGCTGCTTTCTCAGCCGAACTATTTAGCTGTTGCTTCACAAAATCATGCAAAGATTGACCTGCTGAGATCAATTTGGACAGTTTCAGGTTCTATTAATGTTTTTTTTTTATAGCCTTTGTACCATTATCAGGCTTTAATAATTTATATAATGAACACACGCAATGTCTGACCTGGCATTTTGGTCCTTACATTAGCAATTACTGAAGCTAGCTTTATAATAGAGCAGTCTGAGAGTGTGTATTCTAGAAACTATCAATCCTTGATTTAACTCCAGTGTCCTGGAAAAACCCCATACTGTACAACTCCCCTGTGCTCCCTCCAGCCTTTCTTTAATGTGCTGAAAGTATTTTTTTCTTAAAAGACGTAACTCTGTATCCAATCCTTTCCAAACAACTTTTGTTGTTGGCAATATTCAGGAGTAGCAAATATTATAAGTATAAGAAATGTTGACTTCTGACAAGTCGCTCACCGATCAGAGCTCGAGCTTTTAATTATATCCACTTTTATGGTGATATAACTTTCAGTTTGGTTTAAACCTGTGAAATCAGCCAAGACAGAGTCATCAACTGCTCTGTTCACCACCATATAAACTCAGTACTGTGGTATATTTCTACTACACAACCAGTTAGAAAGGATTCAAAAGTCCCTTTAAACTAGGCAGAAAACAAATGTCAGGTATTCACCAAAATAAACCCACACCAGGTTACTGTATATAGTTTTAAAAATACACCTACTGATTCAGAGGAACTCATTCATAAAGAGGGTTTAAAAGGTCATACTGAGGCCTTAGTCATAGTCTCTGATCTCATCTTCCATTTTCAGTGCTTTTATTTAATTTCACAAGGTCACAAAAGAATTGCACCTGCTTTTAATCCTTCCTACACATGCGCAAGTCACTATACAGATATTGATAACTTTACCGGATAAAATTAGTCACTTTACAAAAGTCTTCTTGAGAACATTTATAAACTTGATAATGCCTGTTGTCCATGACAACCATTCTGAATGCTCAGAATGAGAATGACCGTTCATCTGTAACCAGCTCTGTTGTGACCTTTTTGTTTTCACCCACCACCTCTCATTTGGTCTGCCCACAGCTCTAAAGTGGCCATCTGCCGTCATGATAGCAGGTACTGCTCAGGCTACGGTGCTACTTTAGTCGCCCACAAACTGCTAAATAGTCGCCCACTATTGCTCCTTGTTTCCCTGTAATTAGCCACAACCTCCACCCCGTTTTCTTTTCATTTACTTTCCTTTTATGATGCTTTCTTTTAGTTTCTCCTTCCCTTAGAGCAACATCTGCCGTTTCCTATTAATCCAGTTTTCTGTTTAGTACTACAACATTGATAGAAAACCTCATTGTCTAGCATGCTTAATTATTTGCTTGGTCTGAATTATTTTTATTTTTTGTCTTAATCCGACCTCCTAGAACAAATTATAATGGCAGTAAAAAAGTCCGGGAAGTGTTGAAGAAACAGCATCCATCACAATTCATAGAAATGTACAAAGGCCTTAAAATTAGTGTATTAAATTAATTGATTAATGAAAGTGCTCCCATTTCGTAAGTGATAAAAATACGTATATACCTGGCTTACTTTAGTGGCATGTTCTCGTGTCTTTCCTGTTTTGAAAAGTGGCCTAGAGAATTTGGCCTCATTGTCAGGATATGTTTATGGTGTGTCTTTGTTTGCACTCATGGGTCAGATTTCTCTGTCTTCCAGTCTAAAAAAGAACAAAAACAGCCCTGAACATTGAAATCTTAGCTAGTTAGCTAAGCAGCTACTTTTATTATTCAATACCTGAAACAGGTGGAATACCACGAAAAATTACTTCATTTAAAAATTAGGCCAATTACTGCCAAAAATATAAACATAATGGAAATTTTTATTAATGCCTATAAATCAAAAATTAAGAGAAAATGGTTTCACTTTTCTGTATAAACCTAATGGATCTCAAAAACAATTCAACCCTACATATCAAAGCAAGATGGGAAAGAGAGGGCAATCGTGGAGATACCATTGGACATATAATAAATCTCTACAATAGCAAGAATTTGGATGGAAAAATCTGGTAAGATTTTTTTATAGCACCTGCTCAAAAATGCCACTACCATAGAAATCCCCCCACATGTTGGAGGAAATGTAGAAATCAAAACGCAAACAATTATCATGTTTTCTGGGACTGCCCAATTATAAAAGATTACTGGAAAAAGATAAATAATGCCTTAAAAGATGTTTTCAAACAGAACATTCCTTTGGAGATCAATAAGTATTTTGGTATAATTCCTTAAGAAGCCTAAAAAATAAATATTTTATGATTATCTTAATAACAGCAAGTAAGAAAAATATTACAAGAAAATGGTTATCACAGGACAAACCAACTTTAGACCACTGGATCAACATAATATTTCACATATATAAAATGGAAAAAATAACAGGTTCTCTCATCACAAGGCTGAACAATTTTGTCAGTGGTGCCAGATTTGGGTAGACTATGTAAAACTTTAAAGATCTGATTTCAATTTAAGAGACCAAACTTGATTAGATCTCCTCAACAAACCACTTTCATAATATGTTAAATTGAATTAAGTTTTTTCATTGTTGTGTTTCCTTTTTAGTTTGTTTTTTCTTGTTCTCTATTTATTTCTTATTTATAATTCTTCTCTGGGAAGTGAAATCAATGCTTTGTTTGGACTACTATAATGCAATGCCTTACTTGTTCAACTTTTTTCAAATTTTAGAGTTAATCCTGTGAAGTAGAGGCCAATGTCTATGTAAATGATACTTTCCTGAGAATCAATAACGATTAAAAAGAAGTCGTACTACTCAAGAAAACTACTTTTGGGCTTAAGAAGAAGTAAAAGTAAAAATAGCCAAGAAGTAAAAGTACTCAAGAAGTAAAAGTAAAAATAGCCATCCAGTAAATCACTCAAGTAAAAGTAAATAAATACTTGGTAAAAACGCCAATCAAGTGCTGAGTAACTGTATTGCTGTTAAAAATGTTTAATGTTTAAAATTATGTTCAAATTCCTTTTGTGTTAAAGACTAAAGGAAAGAAAAATATATTGAAAAATAACAACCTTTTAAAAATCATTTTTTTTCACATGAAACATATGACCCCAGGCTCACACCGACTCCGGTCTTACCGTTGCGGTGCGTCGGGTGCGGCGCCGCAGTGATTCCAAGTCATTAAAAAGACGTAAACCTCTCTCACCGGCTGCTGAGCTGTCCGGCTGCGGTTACCGAGACACTCCGGTGCTGCAGAAAATTCCGCAAGAAAGCTATCCTTGCGGCGTGCCGGAGCCCTCCGCAACAAGCTCTCGCAAATATCCTTATTTGGGCCGTGTTATCGCGTGAAGTTACGTGAAATTCTGTCCTCGCGAGTTACATCTCCGGACCTGTTCCCGGAGCCGCAGAGCTGCACCGCACCGTAGTCAAAAGGACGGTGGGAGAGGGGGTGTGCGGGAGTTGTGGTTTCCGTCGGCTCGGTAACCGCACCGGAGCCAGTGTGAGCAAGGGGTAAAATCATATATAATATGTGTATGCTTTTTACTGTATATTACCTTAACCTTCATGTCATAAGCCCCATTTACACTGCCATTTTGAAACTGTGCCAAGATCAGTCCGAGTACAGTAATTGACGTAACTGTTGAGTGTAAATGGCCCGCACGACTGAACCGGACCACGCCACACACAACCGAACTACGCTAAACTGGTACTAGTTCATCACTAGGTCTCGGCAAGGTTCGGTTCAGGCTCAGTATTCAGATAACAAAGAGCGCATGAGCAGACTATGTCATCTCCTCACAGTCAGCCTCCGTTTTCATGAAATTTCAGACATTCATTGAAATACTAGCTTCTCTACTATGCCACACGATTTCCAGTGATGATTCTTCTTAGCAGTGTGATAAGTCTCAACGTCCGACTATCGTTTGTCATATCCACTTCCCAAAGCTGACTCTGTCAAGTAAATTCACCAAAGGCTGCCTTCTTCGCTTGACTCTCCTCAAAATTCTTGAAAGTTACAGGCGCCGTCATGTTGATTTTCTTGTTTACCTCTAGAGAGCAGTAGTACCTTCAATCATCACTAGGAGGCGAGGAACCATGCTAGCGTGGTGTGTAAATGGTCGTAAGGAACAGAGCTTTGCACTGTTAAGTGATCCAAGCTTGGCATGGATCGGTTTTCAGAGGGTAATGTAAATGGGGCTATAGACATAACAGCAGTTAATAGTAAAAGTTAAGCAACAAAGATTTTATACTAAAGAGAATACTAACTTGAGTGAGGCTAAAACTATTTGCATCGGTCTCCTGCATTTTAGGTTTAAATACAATTGTTTTCTTTTTTTTTCTACTCATAGTGAGTCAGGCAGTCAAAGATTTAACTCAAGTAAGAGTTGTGAAACTTAATGATAATTTTACTCAAGTAAAATTAAAAAGTATGGTGCATTGATACTACTCCAAAAACTAATTTGTTATTTAAAAATTACTCAGGTAAATATAAGTAGTTACTATCCATCACTTTTCAATATGGCTGCCATGCTTAGAAAACAAAACATAGTGAAAGTTACAGGTATAATATGTAACATATAGCCTTATTTTTTTATTTTGCAGACAGGACTAGACCAGAGTAATTAAAAACAGCTGTTCCCTGAACCTCCTGAATGACTGATTTATACACAATATCACTGGATGTGAAGGTTTTCACAGATTGCTACATGCAAGGCCCATGATCTTATAAGAAAAATAATCAAAAGTCAAAGGGAAAGAGTTAATATCTGTGGTGGACTAAGTGTGTCAACCTTTTCTTGACAACCTTCAACTACCAAGAGTCAAAAGGTTGAAGTAATTTATGCTTCTTGACTTGTTGCAGACTACAGTGGAATCCAGCTGCAGGGATGCTGCAGCCAGAGCAGCCTGAACAGCAATGGTAGTCTTCCAGGGGCCGGTAGGCATCGGAGGGCCACAGAGCAGCGGGTGGCCGGCTGGTCCAGCTGCTTTGAAGGGCTTCTCCAGGACCCCGTGGGTGTGCGTTACTTCTCGGTAAGTTGGTGTAAAGCTTAGAGAAGTTTTCCTGAGCTACATATTTCTGGGAGAGATTAGGATAAGAACAAGTGCAGAGAAGCACTATTATTTAATGATGTAGCTGCTTGTTTATAGAGAATAGAGTTAGTTGTTTATAGTCATGAGTTATAACTGGGGGTTTAAATGCAAAATGAGATGGGATCAGCTATGTTTATATGTACATAGTCAGGCATTGGCAGTAACTACATGCTGGTATTTACAAATGGTTCCATTTCAGAACAGTTTGTCCAAAGTCATCCTTTTAGGCAGAAACACCTTTGTTATACTGTATTCTGTCCTCCTACACTAAAGATGCCTCAATGAATGTAGCCCATAACACCTTCAGAAAGCTCGCATTAAGTGCTGCCTTCAGAGATCTACCTCCCCTTCTCACCCTCCCTCCCTCCGCTCTGATCAGCTTCTCTACTCGCCCACACCATCCTGCACCCACACTTAGAATACACCAGTCTTCTTGCATTGCACCCAGTAATTTCTGGCCTCACTAATGGTCTCAACAGCAACAGCTATGGGTAAGACATGCAAACAATCGGCTGCTTTAGATTACATAAAACCTCTGGTCTGCCTCCACAGGAATTTCTCAAGAAAGAATTCAGTGAAGAGAATATCTTGTTCTGGCAAGCCTGCGAAGGCTTCTGTCATGTTCCTGCAACAGACAAAAAGCAGGTAAGAACAGTTTCAGATGAAAACAGATGTTGTTTATCTTCTGGGATATCAGTGATGTGAATGGGAACTCTTCGAAGTTCAGAACATTATGGGCATCCTCTCTGATAGACACCTTTGGTAAAGATCATTTACAAAAGCTATAGGGTAGGAGATATCTGATTTTACCGGAAACGCTGTTTACGGTCAGGGATGACTAGGCTTGAAACAAAGCCAGTACTGGTACTGATAAAGCATTATTGGACACACTTGAAAAATGGTGGAGTGGGACGGAGCCAGGCCAAGTGGAGCCTGTGCAAAAAGGGCATTACTAACTCCCTTAAGAATTACTTTAAAGGAAATGTTAATAAAGCATTTAGTGATGTATGCCTTAGTCATCAGAGCAACCTTTATTAAGTAATTAATGACTTCCTGTTTCCTTGGGCTAAATATATGAGGCAACACCAAGGCGTTTTTCCCTCATCTGGTGTTCAAAATAAGGAAACAGCATTTCTGCAGTGAGGAAAACACTGGAATTAACCTTATATAAGTATCTATCCATCCATCTTTTCTATCTCATTCCTTTCTGTCTTTTCTTAGATGCCGTCCTCATTGTATTTAGACTTCCTTCCTTCCTTCCTTCCTTCCTTCCTTCCTTCCTTCCTTCCTTCCTTCCTTCCTTCCTTCCTTCCTTCCTTCCTTCCTTCCTTCCTTCCTTCCTTCCTTCCTTCCTTCCTTCCTTCCTTCCTTCCTTCCTTCCTTCCTTCCTTCCTTCCTTCCTTCCTTCCTTCTGCTCAGTCAAGTCAAGTAATTTGATTCTGGGCATGGAAAATATATTTGGAACCTTGTAAAAATCTACAAAGACACTTTGATATCTCCACATCTCCTCAGCATTTATTACCTGTGTGTTTGTTACTTTTGTACCAGGTGTGCCAATGACGGTGGAAAGTCCTCTAAATGAAAGCAGCTAACCTCCTCACTGCTTTTACCTACAGCTATCCCAGAAAGCCGGGGAGATCTACAACAACTTTCTGTCCAGCAAGGCCACCATGCCAGTGAACATCGACAGCCAGGCCCAGCTGGCAGACGACGTCCTCACATCACCTCAGCCTGACATGTTCAAGACCCAGCAGCTACAGGTAGTGTTTTTATGTCACGCTGGTAATGAAGGCGTCCTCTGGACAGCTCCAATACACGAGGATTCTGTGTGCAGTGGTGGCGGTGGGGGTTTGGTCTCATCTATCCTCCATTTGCTTTGTGCAAGCATATTGAGATTTTTTTTGTGGCCATCTGGGTTTGTTTACAGAAAAGCTCAGAGGCTTTACCAGAGAGATAAACACAAACTGGCATACACCCACAGAGAATTCAACACACAAGAAGCAATAGACATGCAGTCAAAGATCTGTGTATTTTCAGCAAGTCGATTAGCATGATTAGATGTGAAGAGTTAAGGCTCTTGTCATAACATGACTAGTGGGGCTGTGACACTAGTGGAGCTTTTTTTCTTTTAATATTCTTGAGGTTTCCAGACTCAGGAAATGATTTACTCCAAATGCTTACTTAGATTTTATTTTTATTTTTTTGCTATGTCCATAGATCTTCAACCTAATGAAGTTCGACAGCTACTCGCGTTTCCTAAAGTCATCTCTCTATCTGGAGTGTCTGCGTGCTGAGGAGGATGGTCAGCCCCTGCCGGACCCCTACCATATCCCCTGCAGCCCTGCCCCCTCCAAACACAGCGCCAGCTCTGACCGTTCCACCCTCTCTACACCCAAAAAGGTAGCACTAAAAAACAAAGATTTACCTGCAAGTTTGCTGTCTTTCGCATCACTCATGCTTGTCCAGACTGAAGGGTGATGTGTGATTTTTGTCTTTGTCACACGCAGGACATGAGAAAACAGAGATCAGGGAAGTCCCTAAATGAAGACACCAAGGACGAAAGCGCAGATAAGAAGCGTGGCATCTTCTTCTCCTGGTCTCGCAACAGAAGCTTTGGGAAGGGTCCAAAGAAGAAAGACATTGGAGACATTAATCTAGGTTAGAATTGATGTTAAGCCATGATTGGCTAAATGTTTATCGTTCTCTACTGTTAGAATAACATTTAAATAACCATAGCTTTCAAGTTTTATCACATTATTACATCCAATGTAGACTGACCAATGTAGTGCCACATGCATTTCCCTCCATACTTCTTAATCACTTCACCATAATCTTCTCACATTTAAAGGTTGAAAGCATTTTATTATCTTTCTGTCAGACTAGAGAATCTTTGACCATAAATTTTAAGTCCTATTTATGTTTTCATTTATTAAGTTTAACAAATAAATTCTAATATCTGATGGTCTTTCAAGTAATATCCCAGTAAAAGTATTTTAAGAGGAATGGTTGGAAAAGTTTCGATACTTTTGCACTGTGGTTACAAACACAAGTAGAAAAAGGGATTTTAAAACAACACATATGATTCAAATGCCAAAGGTTGGCATGACCGGAATCTTGTGAGAAATACATATTATTCAGTTTCCTTTTGTACTTTATTATGTGTTTAATTTCATGTTAAAGGTTGCAAATTTCTTAAATAACTAAAGGTAAACATATAATTGTAATTTAATGAATTTTACATTGTTTCTACTTTCAATTAATTCATTTGTCTTACAATTTCATAGTTGTCCCATAAGCCGGTAAATATATGAATGATTAATCGAAAATTTTCAGTTTTCTTAACTCTAGACCATATAAATAATAAACTTTCTTTATTTCCAAAAAAATAAAAACCCATTAAGAACGTTTACAATGGCCAACGCTTAAATATTTTTTTTTTAGATATCTCCATTAAGGATTTAACCATCTGTAATTTTGTTTTGCATTAGACATGATGGCTTCTTGATCGCTGAGTGGTCTTTCAGTCCATTTAATACCCACTCTGGATAAGGACACTCTTGGCTGTCTTTGCCAGAACTTTCAGATGGTGTTTTGCTTTTGATCTGTGGTGGATTTCCCATCTTCTCTTAAACTCAGAGCCCCTCTCCTTCCTGAATTGTGCGATAACTGGGTATTTCCATGCAGTCTATACATTAACATATACACATAAAAGTGATCCCTTCAGCCATCTGGAAATTACACTGATGGAGGAACCAGATTTGACGTCCATATTTTTCTTTCTGTATATCAAGGCTAATATATTTTGATTTCTTCCATGAGATCATCTAAGGAGGCAGCATGTTTGAGGTGTTGCTGTTAAATTCATCCCTTTCTCAAGTCGACGTCAACTCTGTCTCATGATCTGAGCTTTCCAAATTGCTGGATAACTTCTGTGTCTATTTTTGCAGTTTTGTATAATTTCTGTTTTTCATGCACTGTGTTCTGTGTCTATCTTTCTCTCTCCCCTTAGCTCTTATTTCCTCGTTCTTTCTCACCTCCGTTTCCATATCCATGTCCGCTGTATACGATTTAAGTCCCTAAATTGTTTTCAATAAAGCTTCATATACCAAAAAAAACAAACAAACCTTGCTTTAACCCTTCTGTCTGATTTAGAAAGTCAGTCAGAAAAGAATGTGTCCTTATATACATTATATGACAAAATGTGGATACTACTGTGATTTTTGTTATGGTATTCTTGGCTATCTACCATTCTGAATCTGAAGGAGGTTTTTTTTCCTGTTTTCTAGCAGATTTCTGGGGTAGTAATGGACGGAGAGAGTCCCAGGGTTCCCTGTCATCCAGTGCCAGTCTAGAGATCCCCAATTCTGTTTCTGCTGCCAAAATGGAGGTAGGTTTGCCTGGTCAGATCACCATGGAAACACAGAGCCCAAAGTGTAGTAAATTCATCATAATAGACTACTTAGCCTGCACATTTCTTATTTTTTTATACAATATAAACCAAAGTGAGGGTGAAACTGACTGGTTTTCTGACTCCTGCATCCTCAGTCTGATAATCGCCACTCGGTGGGAGCGTGGGAACGCACACCCAGGCAATGTAGTGTGCTGCTGCCCGACGGCTCCTGTTCCTCCATCACTTTACGGCATGGTGCCTCCATTAGGGAGGTCCTCCAAGATCTGTGTCGCAACATCTGTGTCAACATTGCAGCCGTAGATCTTTTCCTTGTGGGAGGAGAGAAGGTTAGGAAAGATTTTCTTTGCTTTATTAAACCAGATAAGCCTTTTATAATGAGATAAAGCAGATATAAATGGAACAAAAAACCAATGAAATGTCCTGCTTTTGCTCCCGGTAGCCTTTAGTGTTGGACCAAGACTGTATGACTCTCTGTTCACGAGACCTAAGATTGGAGAAGCGCACTTTGTTTCGGTATAAACCTTTCATTCCTTGTTTTCTTTCTTTTTTTATTTCTGCTTTAAATGTTCTCTCCATAACCCCTGCCATTTGTTTGCTCCTAGACTGGACCTGGTGCCGATTAATCGCTCCGTGGGTCTTAAAGCCAAACCTACAAAACCAGTCACAGAGGTCCTCCGTCCAGTGGTGGCAAAATACGGCCTAAATCTCAGTGATCTCGTGGCAAAAATAGTAAGTCATCCCTGATGGCTACAAAAGCTTTAATGTCTTTCGAGCTCCTGTAAATTGAGACAGCAGCCTGTGCAGCGAGGGTGGAGTATCATGGTCAGGGGAGGGGAGAGAGACAACCACATCCTTTTTCCTTCTCGGTGGTTAGAGCTCTGACTCATGCGAAGATGGAGCAGCAGAGCTATAATTAAGAATGACGACACCCCTCAAACATGCCGACTCTTTGGTCCTCCCCTTAACCCCTGTCAGGTTTATTTTAGTCCTGTGGGTTTCCAGGCATTATAACTGCATTATACAGTAGACCAAAGCTGAAAGAGGGCTTACAGATATCAGCCCCTGTCCCTCTGTGAGGTATTTTACAGAACAACAGGTGAAGACACTAACCCACTGTGTTTGAAATTAGAGCGGGGAGACGGAGCCGCTGGATTTGGGTGCCCCCATATCAAGCCTGGATGGCCTGAGAGTTGTACTGGAGCAGGCAGACCCCTGCTCAGGGAAAGGTAAAGCATCCAACACTATTTTCTCCTTAGAATATCTCCAAATAGTCAGATCCTTTGAAAGAAGAGTTTTACAGAGCGATTCACACTTGGTTTTATATTTAGTCATATTTTTGGGGGGGAGGATTATAGGTTATAAAGGAATACAAAAACATTTTTCATTTATAAAAAGGAAAGAGAAAATACTTGTTAGATATAATTTTGTAAAACACATGACGCTGCCAGTATCATGCTTTGTCACGATCTTCTCAGATCTCTGCAGCTCCCTCAGAGTTACTGAGGATCTCTTTGATGCCTCTTTGATTAATTCTGTCTGCCTGGTGGGTGCATTTAACAGGACGGCGAGTCGTAGCTGGTTATTAGTTGGGCCTCACTGTACCAAAGGGTGACTACTGAAGGCGGTTAGCTGCACTGGATTATGTTTTAGGATGGCAGATTAAAGGAAACTTTTCAGACTTTCAGATTTTTTATCTATACATTCTTTTTTCTTTCAGTGTGAAGCGGCAAGATGTAGAAATTCATGTTTTTACAACATGAGTTAGTCTCTAGCTCCCATTACTCCTGCCTACCTGTGTCCACACACTGATGAATTTTGACGTGTCTTCTCTCTGTTTGTGAAATAGAAAAATCCAAGTCTTCCTCCCTAAAGGGCTTCCCTCCAACCAGGAGTTTTTCTGCTGCAGTAAGTACTAAAAACACACTTACCCTTCTACATGTCTAACAAAAAGGGCCCTGCGGTGGTGACATTTTTTTTTCTCCTCTACTGCTGCGCTGCTTCTTCTACATTCATATTGCTTTTATAGTTATTAGCACTGACTTCATGTTAATCTGTCAGGGTTTATTTTTTTATTCTTTACTCCATCTGCTGGATCTGTTGCTAATTCACCCATTCAGATTATTTTTCCTGCTTTAAAAAGCTAAATTAATATAGGGGGGGGATGTCCAGATCAGGAAAAGACACACGGGCGAGCGATGGGAGGGGTTTGTCTTAGAACCAGGGGCTCTGTAATCTGGAGTCTTCTCAGTAAAGTGGTTAGCAGCTCATGCTTAGCTTCCCTCTTGCGACCACACCTTCCCCACCCCACCACACCCACCCCTCCATCCCCTAACAGAGTGCATTGTTATTGTTGCATCTGCAGGGAGATGAAAGGTCAGCACCAAAGGACATTTCTGTGAGAGCGAGTGGACCAGCCTCAGCACTCCCAGGGGAAAAGAGAAAACAGAAAAAGATAAATATAGATGAAGCTGAAGGTAAATGCCCACCCCCCTTTTCTTGATTTCTCTTTTCCTTTCTTTTCTTTTTTGTTCAACTTTTTGGTGGATTTTCCTTGCTTTGCTTCGCCTCTGGACTAACTGTGTCTGACGAGAAGTGTCCTCAGATATTTCTCTTGTAAATATTCCTCTTTTTTTCGGGAAATTGAAAATAAAGCAAAAGTTTTTTGTGTTTTTTTTTTTTTAGAATTCTTTGAGCTGCTAACCCGAGCTCAGAGCACCCGAGCCAACGACCAGCGTGGACTCCTGAGCAAAGAAGACCTGGTGCTCCCAGACTTCCTGCGCCTGACTCCACCCGCCTCCTCCGACCTGGCCTGTTCCACCCCAGCCTCCCTGAAGCAGAGCCGAGAGAACGGCGTCTCTCCTCGGGGATCCCTCACCTCCGGCCTGCGCTCGGAGAGCCTGGACTCTTCCCTCAGCTCCAGTGCCAACGGACACTCAGCAGCCAGGAGGTGCCTGCTGGCTCCTCCCCGCCATTCCACGTTTGGCACCCACCTCTCCCCCATCCCCCGGCCCTCCGACTCTCGGCCGAGCCTCCGCACAGTGGAGGAGGACGCCCAAACTGACCTGACCCTGGTGGGGGAGGGCGACATCAGCAGCCCCAACAGTACTCTGATACCCCCTTCACCTTCATCCTTCCCATCCCTTGAGACCAGTCTCCCTGAGGCCAACTTCACCCCGCCACCACCCTGCTCCCAGTCTCAAGACACAGTTGGAGAGGGAAAGTCAAGTTCAGGTATTTCTACAAACCAGTAACAAACCATAGTGTGTGTGTCTGTATGTTTGAGTGTACAGTTGTGCTCAAAGTAATAGTAGTGTGTTTAAAAAAGCTATTAAATCTTAACATCCTGATAATAACTTCAAGGTTAACAAACACTTTGGGAAAACGGATGAGCTCTGGGAGCTGTGTGGGGTTAAGGGTCTTGCTAAGGGATCCAGAGTGCAGGCTGTGGGGATCAAACTGGGTACTTACAACTAGGGCTGGGCGATAATTCAATAACGATATATATCAATCGATAGACGTGTGGCGCAATAGAAAAAAAAGAGGGTCGATAAAAAAGAAACACAGTTTTCCTTCCTTCTCATTGTAGCCTAGCATGTAGGTATATGCTAGTCACTACTTCCTCCCAACCAATCACAATCGCGGACCCAGGCATACCGTCACCATGCGCCGCCCTCTCAAACCACAACACAGAGCACATGAAGATGTCGCAGCAAGGAGAGGCGGAGGAAATTGTTCCAAAGAAGGGTTTTTGTAGTTCGCATTTATTTGTTATATTCATTTTGGTCACTTTTCTCGTCACTTTAGTTTATTCTTTGTCAGTATTCAATAACATAACCCAGGTCTCTTAAGTTATTTTTCTTTAAAACAATTCTGTTATGGTTAAAAAAGTTGGTTAAGTAAAGATTTAATTCAAAGTCTGTGTTTGTGTTCTTTATTAAAATTAAATCATTTGGCAATATTAGAAAAAGTCCAGGCAGAGCTGCACATAAAATATGGTTTTAAATCTTTTCAATAATTATCGATATCGATCAATATGCATTTTTTTTATCTATAAGCTTTTTTTCTATATCGCCCAGCTCTACTTACAACCTCCTTGGAGCACAAGCACACTGCTCTAACCACTAGGCCAACACTCCCATAAGTCAGTGTGAACACGTAGTAGTGTGAAGTGTTTATACTAATCCATGACCTTTAGTTTGTTATAAATAGGCCCAACACTATAATATTAGCAATGTTGGGCCCTATCATTGCGCCTGAGCCGCTGTGCCTCACAGTGTACCGTTCCCTTTCATTGGTCTGCATCCTCAATCACCCAAAAAGGACAATCTAGGCATGATCAGCCATAGGTCCCGCCTATGACATGCAGCATTTCCAACATGCCGACTTTTCAGGGACCATTTTCATTAGCTTTACTTCATGTTGTCTGATCGTTTCAGTACTCAAACCCAACTGTAGCTAAATTCTGATCCACTCAGAGTGTAATCAACATGGTAGTACTATAATCTATTTAAAAGCTTTTCTTTCCATATCCTGCTGCCCATGTTTATGTGTTAAACTATCAGGTCCATATCACCTCTGTGGTCAGCTTTTATGTCCAGACATCAGTGTTCTTCCAACTGATGTCTAAAAGGACCTACTTTACTAAGATTATCAGGGGAGTGTAGTTTGAACGCCATATATAGGATTAGGATTCTACCGTACTTGTTTTTATATGGGCCCCCTGTTGGGCTCCTGTTTTGACCCTCTCTGCTATAATTATGACCAAACCCCTTTAGATTAATGATCCAGTTTCCCAGAATCAGCGGCATGCTTGTTGTGACGTATTGGTTTTAAATCATGTAGAAAATAACATTTTTTTAAATCCTCTAAACAGTGATTGATTTGGATCCTGAGGTGCGGGCTACTGTTACTTTGAAAGCAACTGTATTGGCATGTGTGTTTAACCGTGGTCATGATTGTACCACTATCAAAGTAAAAGTCCTTCTATACTGACTGACGCACTTTAATGACAAATTGATGTTGACTCCTTCAATTTGCCTGCTCTGTTTAACTCAGTGTGTGTGTAAGTGTGCGCGCGGACGCAATGGATAACAATAACACTACTGTAAATAGTGATGTGCATATTTTTCCTTCCATGAGTGACGTTTACCTGAAAATTCCAGCGCTGCAAACTGTCGGGGTCGACCATGTGATTGGGACGTCCCCCAGTTGAATATATTTGTTTATTTTTTTTCTACAGTTTTCGGGTGCATGCAAATGTGATTGTCTGCAAGTCTTGATGAATTAAAACTAAGTACAACACAGGTTTTTCTTCTGATCAGTATTTGTTGCACAATCAATATTGTTCTGAAGAGTCGAGTTGAGACCAGCTGATCAACTGAAAGTGGTGACATTAGCTGTGTGAGTAAAACCAGAGCCGTGAGGCTATAAACCCTGAACAGCCGACACAAAGGCTGCACCCCTCTCCATCCCACCACTTCTAGTTAAGAGCAACTCAACAATGTCACTCTCAGAACCTTTTTTGTCTATCATTTTTCAGAACTCCTTAAAAGCAGTGAGTCACCAAATTCAGTCGGCTCATGTTGCAGCAATCGGAGCCGTTATGATTATAATTAGTCATAGGTCAGTGACATTGGTGAAGTGCCCATCATTCCTTATCTGGCTCGCTCGCTTCCTTCTCTAGGTGCCTGTTGTAGAAAATCACTGCCAATAAACTCTGTACCTGTGACTGAATAGATCTAATAAATGTCAGAATTGGAAATCACTCTCGTCCTGTCTTTTTACACGTTCGTGAAATAATTTTTTTCCTCCCTGAGCTGCCGCCTCAGCATGCCTTTTTTTTTTTCTTCCCATTTCTCCCCTTTAGCTCTGTCTCATTTTCATCCTGTGGCGTCCTCCACTCATTAACTCCCACTCCTTTGTATACCTTCACTCAAGCGGTGTGATTTTTTGCTCCGATTGTTCTCTGTGGCCTGTTTGTTTAGTCTTTTGCTTGCTTGGTCTGCTTCCTTGTTGTGTGGTAATATTTGTTTTTCTTGGGATTACTGCTGTTTTGTGTGTGGTTTTATGGTGACTTGCAAAAGCATTCATAATCCTTGGACTTTATCACATTATGTCACATATTGCGATGGGACCTTATGAGATAGATCAAGAGTAAAAAGAATGGGATAATTGCAAAATGAATATTTTTTTTCACTTTGAAATTGAGAGATGTTTTTGTATCCAGACCTCTTTATTCTGACTTCAGACTTGTATAAAAATCCAAGCCAACTTATTAGAAAATATTGTCCACTTGTCCAAGTAATGTATACGTAGCTTAAATGTGGTAACAAAAAAAAATCATAGCGCCTCAGGACAACAGCAAACAGGTCAGGGTAGAAGTGGAGAAATCTGAACAAGGAATAGTTTCACAGTCCCCTGATTTCAACATCCCACTGGGCTCTGTTCAGTCCAATGTCTTATAGTAAAAAAAAAAAAAAAAAATAAATAAATAAATAAATAAATATATATATATTAAGCTGACTGGGAAAGTATTAACAAGACTATCTGGGGTAGTTGGGAGATCAACAACTCAGGTGGGAGAATCTGTTGATGGTGCAAGTATTAGTTTTGCCTCCCAAAATATCTGGACTTTATATTAAAACTGGAAAGAGATGTGTCGTTTTGCACCATCCTATATAGAGGTCACAGAAAAAACGTGGGGCAAGGTGCTCTGGCCAGGTGGGATCAAAACACAAAACGTTATAAGTAACGAGGACACTAGAGCAACCATAACCACAGTGTAATGCTGCAGGGTACGGGCAACCATTATAGGGGACTTGTTAAAACATTTAGAACTTGGCCCACCATCCTGAGACATGGAGGTGAAAGCATCATGTTTTTCTTCATCAAGGACACGGAAGCTGCTTAGAGTTGATGGGAAAACTGTTGACGATAAATTGCAGGGCAAACCTAAGATTAAAAGCTTCTGATGCTTAAAAGAAGGTTCAGCTTCCAGCTTGATGACCTAAAACATAGAGCCAGTTTAAATGGCTGAGTCAAAGTACAGACCTAAGTTCTATTGAGAATCTATGGTAATTAAGAGGGAAAAAAATCCCACATGCTTTCCAGCCTGTTGGAGTGTGCTAACAAGCTTTTGCTAGGAAATAGAGCAAATATTGTAAAACGTTTTGAAAACGTGCATCTTTCTTTCAGCTAACCACTGTGCTCTGCTTAATCTTGATCTATCACATAAAACCCCAAAGCCTGACTCTTCTGGATATAAGGTGTTCAAATGTGAAAAAAAAGTTACAGGATTATGAATACTTGTGAGAAATGTTGTAAACTGACGTTCTGATTGGGGGAATTTTTCTGCTTCATCGCTTGTTGTTTTTCATCTCAAGAGCAAGCGAGATGAAATGGTTTTTCATCATCCGTTTCTTGTGGTGCATCAGTGTTTTCTTTTGTTTAAGGCTGTTAAAGTGTAACAGTTAACTGCATTGAAGGCTGCTTCCGCAGTAAACGTGTACAGACATCCAGTCTGGATCAAGATTCATAAAAACCGAACCCCAAAATTAAGAAATGATGGCGAGGAAGGACGGCACGGTCTCTTCTCTGGCTGTAGAGCGGATCAGACTGATTCTTCCCACCACCGGGAGCCATGGTAACCCTCTCCTCGGATAGACGGTGCTACAGATAGAGGCTGTCACTACTTCTTCTCATCCATCTCTCCCGCTCTCGTCCTCTTTTTTTGTCTCCCACCAGCCGAAATAGAAACAGGGCTATGATTCAGTAAAGCCACCTCGCTGCTGGAAAATATGGAAGTGCAACAAGTTTTACACGCCTCTGCTTTTTCCCACTTTATGCAGACTTTATGGAGTTGTTACATTTGTATTCAGGTGGCAAGTCGTGCTGGTTGGATTTCATGATTGGTTTAAAAATAAACATTTCTTTCAGAGAAAGAAAAAAACATTTTCCTATGCATCAGCCCCTGCTTAATCTGTGCATCACCGTTAGACTGATGCCCTCTGCTGTTCCCTGGGTAATGCTTGTCATTTCCTAACAAATGATGCAACATTGTTGAAAATACAGCTGATGTGGATGAAAGCCTTGTTTAGAGCCATGCAGCAACTGTGTAATTGTTAAAAAGCATCTGACTGGGCAGCACAGCTTCTGCTGCAGTGAAAAAAAGAAAATGGAGTCTGAAGTGCTAAAACATGCAGAGTGTTTTCAGCCTCTTGTGCTGTTTGATT